GGGCTGAGCTGGCCACACACACACACAAATAAAATTAAAAAAAAAAAAAAAAGAGTTGATTGGGGTCTCTCCTGTGTGTGCCAGGGAAAGGCGAGAGGAAATTGTATCCAGGGCTGGAGTGGAGAAGAAGGAGGAAGTAGTCACTGGGAAGATAAACTGTTGTTTTAAGGGATTCAGCCATGTTAGATGACCACCGTAATAACTGAGTAATTCATACTAGGGCCAGAACCCATCAGTAACTGCCAGGTACCAAGCCAACATTTGGCAAAAGAAAACTCAGAAAGAACTCTTATCGCCTTGTTTCTTAGTTTGGATTATATATATATGTAGCCTAATCCCTGGAGACACACAATTATGACTGATGCCACAAAGAAAACACATTGGGGTGGGCTTCAAAAAATATGCTGTCCCTGGCCTGCCATGCCAGCCCCGCCCCTGGGGCGTGCTGAGGCAGCGATTGAGACTAGGCGTGGTGGTGCGTGCCTGTAATCCCAGCACTTGGGCAGCTGAAAGCAGGAGGATCACTAGGAGTGCAAGCTATGTAGTGAGACCCTGTAGACCCTGAACTAAATACATTTTTTTAAAAGTATGCTATCTCAGGATAGCATATTTTATAGAGAGCAGAGAAAACAGTATTTTGTAACATACCTATATCCAAGCTGCCCTGGTCCTCGTGTTTGCTCAGTGGAACCACCAGGCTTTCGACACACTGAAAAAGACAAAGGTCAAGATTTTTTTTTTTATTAATTACATCTATGGTACACTAACGTTAGCTTCTTTACTTTTGTGAACTAGAACAACAGTTTAGGAAAACAGCAGTAAAACCACGTGACATGTATCACATCATCTAAACAGAACACTAGACTTGTTGATAATTAAGCATTACTGAAGAGTTAAAAATAAGGAAAGGACCTGGTCCCAGGAGAAACAAACCTGACGATATTTAACAACATGTACAAATTTGTCTTGGAAAAATAATTTAATTAACGTGCACTTACAAGTCAGAAAGACAGCTAGGTTTGATCACAAAGTGATTGTGAATATGATAAAGAAAACTGCACTTCAAATTATTCTGAAAGTAAGGCCCTGGAGATATAGCTCAGCGGCTTAAGTGCCTGCCTGGCAAGTGCAAGGTCCAAAGTTCAATCACAGGTACCAAAAAAAGAAAAAAAAAGAAAGAAATTATTCTGAAAGTGACCTGGGGTCCATTATCATTTACTTGTGGATTTTCCCTCCTAAAGTGTCTGACTACAAGTCTTTGTTTCTACTTTTAACTCTGGATAGACAGGCAAAGAAGAAAGTGGAGTAGAAGATTGTTACCTCCCCATCCTCCTTTTCGGGTGACGATCTGCTCAACACCAAGTTCTTAATCTCTGCAAAAGGAAAAATTCTCATCAGCATATACTGATTAGAGCTTAGAAGAAGGAGAAGAAGAAAGGACAAGAAGGAAAAAAGAAAAAGAGGAGGAGAAGGAGAATAAGAAAAAAAAGAAAACAGATGTCAAGTACTGATGCATCACCCAGGAGCTGTCTGCACAGCGCTAGCTAGGTAGGGTTTAGGACAGGCTTCCTCTCTGCCTGAGGAAGCCCCAAAAGTTTGTCAGTTTCCTCAAAGGTCACAGGTTTTAACGTTTCAAAAGAGCACAACTCATTCGAGAAGCGGCTGCTCTGTCCTCTCCCTGCGTTGTCCACAGGAGCACACAGCAGTGCAGCCCTCAGCCACTACCTCTGCCAGTGGGGCCAGGTCGAGGTGACCAGCCCCAGGCAGGCCAGCAACCCTGGTGTCCTCACTCGGCAAAGGTTTTCCTGGAACTGGAGATCCAGATGTTCTGGGATGGGCAGAAAAGGCCACGTGAAGGGATCTTTTGCTTTGGCTCCACTGATTGGTTCCCTCCCCCCAAATACTGGGAAACAAGAACCCCCGCTGTTAAAATAACCTTCAGGAGCAGGTTTGAGCCTGGGGAAGTTAAACCAGTATTCTTTCTTAGCAAGGGTAAATGGCTGAAAATCTTTAAGCTGAGTGGGAATGAATATGTTGTGATAATGTGGAGCCCCAGGCTTTTTGCCTCATCTTCCTGGGCCTAAGGTCCTGCTGGAAGCAAAACCTGCAGAAAATCGAGTTTTCCCAGCAAGTAGATTTTAAAATTAGATTTCCCTGCTCTGCTCTGCCACTTTTAGAATAAAAGCATAGTAGGGTTGGGGAGATAGCTCAGCTGCATAAGCGGCTGCCTCACAAACACAATGTCCCGAGTTCGATCTCCAGTACGAATACCACAAAAAATAAATAAATAAATAAATAAATAAATAAGTAAGTAATGGCTTCATTTATATGGCTCTTCGTGAAAAGCCATACTAAGGATGACAAATTACAAATAGGGAATAGTAGACAATAAGGCGAGGGTACAGCGGAGAAGCTGTTCTCCAAGTTTGCTTGTATTTAATGGGATTTGGTTGGGCTGGAGATATAGCTCAGAGGCATAAGCGCCTGCCTGGCAAGCACAAGGTCGAGTTTGATCCTGAGTAGTGCAAAAAAAAAAAAAAAAAAAAAAAAGAAAGAAAGAAAGAAAGAATGAGAGAGAAAGAGAGAGAGACAGAGACAGAGACAGAGAGACAGAGAGGAATGATTTGCTCAACACTAACTTTGAATTTGTTTTTAAAGCAAATAATACATTTATATATCCCAAAAATTGTTTTTGAAATCAAGATCCATACTAGCTTTCACGATAGAACTAAGAATATTAACCTCAATTTTAAGTATCATAACGACTCTCCGCACGACAGGTAGTCAAGACTGGAACTGACAACCCAAACTGGGTTGCTTGCGCCGCTGGCATCTTTCAAAGCACAACTCACTCCTGGCCTCTTGGTGGCAGCAGAGTAACATCTGCCTTTAATACAACTGCCAGAGACAAGAATGTCCAGATGGGCCCAAAAGCCTGCTCTGGGGTGCAGAAGTTCAAAACACAGGGTCGAAATAAAAGTTGGCATCCTACTCTGTAGATGCAGAAATGTGATACGACGTACCTGGCAGGCTGCTTGCCACACAGTAGGTGCACAACAGCTTTGCAATCCAATGCCCACACCATAAAAAGAAAGAGATCATAAATCCAATGTGCTGAACAAGGGAAGGGAAGGCTAACCAGAGCCAAAGTTTCAGCAGACATATCTGCATTAGACACCAAGAGAGGAAGCCTGGGATATAGCTCAGCAGCATAAGGCGACTGCCTGGCAAG